AAGTAAGATTGGTTGGAGTCTCTGCATTTTGCAGTTACTCTGTTAAACAAAAATAAATCTCACCTCTGAAGTTACAATGTCGCTGCATTGAGATTGTTACTGGGTTGAGACTTATTACAGCAACTACTTCAACTTCACTTTTTACCTTTTCCTCTCTGATTTTTCTATATACTCCACGGTTCTGCATCTGACACCTTTGTTGCAAATTCTTCATGGCCAGTTGGGCATTTGCACAATACATACCATCGCTACAGTTCCTAGATCTACCATATATCTACAACAGAAATTTATCCTGAATCTTCAGTGAGCTCCAAGTGCTGCTGACACTAGTTTAATGTAGCTGTAGTTCATGACAATTTATGTTTTAGCACATGCTTCTTATTTTTATGAACACCTTCTAAGTGTTTTTTGGGGGTAAGGGAGGGGGGAAGAGACTTGTGATTCCCACCTCTATCTAAAATTCCTTAGTTAAATTTTGGATAGAAAAAGTTTGCTCAAAGTATTTTGAAATTCTTGAAATGCTTAAAATATATTCTTTTACTTAGAAATACTTAAAGCATTAAAGTAAAAAAAAGTTTTGTTTGAAATCTTATAAAATTCTAATAAAATACCAATTTATCCCAAAGAAAAGGAACTTGAACATGGGCGGGCACTAATTAAAATTTCTGATCCCACAAAAATTTGTTACCTTTATTAAGGAACAGCATTCCTCTTGAAGAACTACATATGAAAAATTACATGCATTTTAAATTCTATTCTCATAAAATGTTTGCAGGGTCAGGACTTTGTTGTTTGCATTCAAGATGCACAAGAATCTCATTGGTTTGAAAGTGTGACGCATCGATTTCTGGACTTCATAAAAAATCATTACAATGCAATGATGCTTCAGTAGTCTACTCAAAAATGGAGAAACAAAAGAAAATTGAAGCCAAAATTTAAAATTAACAGCTACTGAATAGGTACCATTCCCCTAATTTATTCTTGTCAAAATATTCTTCAGGCTATGATCCTATGAACATTTAAACACTTTTTAAATGTGTGCACAAACCCACTGAAGTTACTTTTCTTAATATATTTAAACAAACTTGGAAAAAATCTGAGGCCATACCAAGTAAAATATTTTCCATGAGACATGTAGAGAAAAAAAATTATTATTTTAACAACATCTATTTTGGTGTCTAAATAGGAAAGTAGGAACCAACTTTATGACCTCATCTCTGCTAGTTCTTTCTTAAATAGAAGGGGAGATTTCGGGACAGGAAATCAGCTGTTGATCTTATTTGATTAATTCATCAGTATCAATTTTTATTAAGCATGTTTGTGTTTTTTTTTTTAATTCAGAAGGCATTATCCAATGTCAAAGCCAAATATGAAGGAGATCATTTACAAATGACGTAGTAGATGGTTTCGAAAAGAGTTCCTTTCAGGAATCCTCTAGGGACATGGGTAGATAAAAAGTAGAGCGCTTAATTCCAGATGAAATTAGAATTGAAAGCAAACACGCACCTGATGAACTCCCAAGAGATCACAACAAAAAAGAAAATGTTCATATGTAAGCAAAGGCCAGTAAGGCCCAACAACTATTTCTGCTTACTTAACATATGTAAATGTAATAGATATTTGCAGATAACTCTGTTGCAGATATTTATTATTGCAGGTTATAGACAAAAAATTCTTCTACCACACAGCAAAATGTGTGCAATTCTAATGCTTTAAATAGACAGTATTTCAGTTAAATTCCTGAAATGAAAGCTTTTAATAAGACTACGATAGAACACTACTGTGACATATTGCATAGTAAATTTGGAAATTCACATACTTTGAAAGAAAAACTGATGAAAAATATTATCGTTCTTTAAAGCTCATCTAAACACTTAAATTTAAGAGGCTGGAGTCGGGGGGAATTGACTGCATACTTTCCAACAACTTACATACATAACCACTAGAGAGCAGCTTGGCATTTAAAGAAACCCTTCTCTCTATCCCACAATAAAATATGCTTTGCAACAGAAGCAAACTGTTTTGCAAAATTTCTATTTACAAATGGTCTCATATACCATTTTCATTTTCCCTCCACCAAACAGATAGTTTTGGTTCACTGGAGTAAGCCCCTTTGCATCTTGTCAAATGGATTACAAATACCAGTTACTTGGCTGGAATCTACTGTTAATCGTTCCTGCTGGACATAAATTTTTCCTATATCTCTCTTTGTGCAAATGAAATTCTTGAAATGTTTTTTTCACCTGCATCAGGTGAAAAGGTCTAATAAATAAAACATGAACTAGCTTCTCCAGTTTTGGCTGACAAGCTGACTTCGCTTATTTAAATGGGTTCCCCCCCAGTTATTAGATTTTACAAAAAAGAACTAGAGCTTCAGGAACATCATTTTAAAAAAACAAAGAAAGAATATACTATTTTCTAAACAGGGTAGAAATAATAAATATATGTGATTAATTCAGTAACAGACGCTCAAGAGTCACAGCAAAAGTAAATACTATTAACCTATACTGTTGTGTATGACCACACACAAGATATGAACTAAGTATGTATCACAAAGCCTAATTTTCTATGCCTGCTTTTGCCAATGCTACGACTTAAGAGTTAAAAAAAGAAATGGCATTTTATATCTGTGGAAGTTCTCTCTCAACACAATTTCCAATAAATCCTTGTTCCTTAAATGAGAGTTTTTAAGTAAATTCTGAAATTTCTTTCAGACTGCAAGCACATTTGAAGTCTGGTTTATAGAGTAAGCCCACACACAAAAAGCTGTTTTTCAATTACAAGTAGAAAAATCTAAAACCATTATTTTAAGAGAAGAAATAAATACTCAGTCAATTACTAGAATTTCTACATTATCATATTTGCCAGCAGCCATATAGGATCGCATCTGCATTTCCTCACATTTCACAGATTTTTAAGTCAGTCGTATCCCAGAGAATATACAGACACACACACATTTTCACTTTATCCCATAAGTAAATCTCAGATTACTAAGTAAAAGCTACTCTAAATCTAAATACCTCAAGGCCAGAACAAAAGAAACACCTCCTAAGCGACTGAAAAGGAGACAGAAAGCTGGACAGATACAGACAGACAGATAAAGATTTCTAAGCTCACAGCTAAGAACCCCATAGCAGCTATACCATTCCAAACTAGAAGGAAACAAAAATTAAGGTTTACATAAAAACGTGAAATTAAGTTTGGACAGATATTAAGGGGATCAAGATGAAGGGAATCAAGTTTCATTTCGTTCAAGGTGACTACACTGCTATGGGATCTACAGTACCTTACAGGTTTCACTAACTTATTTAACATCATTCTTAACATGTCAAATGCAGATAACATGAGAATAAACTATAAATGAAGGACATTAGCAGTGCACTGAAGTTTTTTTTTTTTTTTGTCTCCTTTGTGCATTCAAGGATTGCTGTGATTTTTGCCTTTTTTGTTTCATGTAAAAATTGATATATACATACAGGAGAACGGAAGATCAGAGAAATACACTTTTTTCTAGGACTGAACATGCTGAGGTTTGTCACCAGTCTGGCGGGACACGTAAGGGTCCACCACGCCACAGCACAACACTGTGAAAGCCTTACTATATTTTGTCAGATGCGACTGAAGCTTGATCACAAGAACAGGTACTGCTGTTGTGCAGGCTTTACTTATTAAAGGAAAAAAAAAAAACTTCCTATCACCAGAAGTTACACAATTTAAAACAAACTCATCCCTCCAAATACTTGGGTTTCCAAAGGAAAAAATATGGTTGAAAGTCATTTTTTAATCATCTCTAAATAAATTTCTTCAGGTAACAAGGCTATTGAAGTATTTAACATAATTACAAGCCAACAAATACCTTCTTCCAAAAGAAACTGAAACAGAATAATCTACCTAGCTGGCATAATCAGCATGTTGGGGGCACTTTGGCTGGGTTACTGCCTCCCCCTCCGGGGGGGCGGAGGGAGGAGGGAAGGTGATCAGACTAGTAACACTGCCCTGTATTTAGTGATGACATTTTAAACTAATTTAGCTGGACAGCATAGAAGATTAGTCTTCCAGTCTTTACTCAAATCCTTTGAAGATATGTAATTGTTCAGCTCTGCAAATCAGCTCAAATTCTTCATAGTGTTTAAAGTACATAAAAAATCCTGTTTGTCTTATATAGTTGTATCAAAACCTCCTGTGATTTCCTGGAATGAACATGATTTGTAAGTGTTCTCATCTCGCAGTAATAAATATTCATTCAGCAATCTGTCAAATATCCAACTTCAAAAGACAAGTGGCTTGAAGGCCGATATATGTTAATTACATTTTTTGCATTCTTCAGCAACTGATGCTGCAAACTTATGCTTCCAACTAGAACTTACTTTCTTTTCCTTGTTCTTAAAGTGAAGAAACAGAAAAAAGGCAGAACAGAAAAACCAAGAGGCATAAGGGAATATTTTAGTATAACATGAATACAGTGCTGTTACAAGAACAATAACATTTGCCTGGCCTGAAGGAGCTGGCCTTTAATTTATTCTAAAGTAATTGAACTATGCTGGCAAATACGATGCGAAAACAACAGGGATCTTTCCTTCTCTTTTGGGAGAAAGTTCATTTATAGTCTGCCATTTGACGACTACTCAGATATTTAATACAAACTTGTATTTATCCTTTTTAAGGCAGTTATCACAAGTGTATTTTTGCTAGTAATTAAAAGCGGTTCAAACATGTATTATTTAACTTCTTTCCAGATGACAGAAAGGTGGAAACAATTTTAAATTATTATTTTTACCTTTTCTAGTTTTTTAGCTTCAATGTGTCGCAGCACCTGTTCCCTCCAGTCATGAGGGACTTTACTTTTTCCTGGAGGGTCTAATAAAGAATGCTCAGAGTTAACCCTTGGGTTTGATCTCTTTGAAGGACTAGTCCGTGAGTAGTTAAAGTCACTAACTGACATAGTTCTTTCTGGTATTTCATTCACTGAAGGTCGAGCACTCTGTGGTCGGGGTACATTTGGACCATCAACGCTGTATGTCCTGGCAGAAAGAGGTCTCTGATGCCCAGGCATTACTGGTGGAGCTCTTCCCATTGAATGCAAATCTCTGTATGTTAAGTAGTCCCCATCAGGAAGCTGGGCCCGCCTTGAGGGTCCAGTATCACCAACATTTACAGAAGCTGTAGAGGTTACACTACTCTGCCTTTGAAGAGTGTTTCTGGTTGCTCCTGGGACCAGTCTATCATTTGGTGGAATAGCCCACATATCTATATGTCTCCCAGCCATCCGCTGATGAGTGTTATATGCAGTACTGGCTCGAACATTGTTATGATTGGAGAAGTTCATATTGGCAGAATGCTTTACATAGCTAGGGGTTTCTGTGCTGTCAGACCTAAGCAGACGCGAAGGAGGTAAGCTGCCTGGCTCTACTTGGGTGCTTTGTTTCTGGGGCCACAGGGTATCTTTGGCTGTCGCACTACTGCTGTACTGAATATTATACTGGGGAGTGCAGAACATCTGTGCACCACTTGCCACTGCTCCTCTCACCACGTTAGCACCTTCAGGATTGTGATTCAAGTCAAACTTGAACACAGGCTTTGTAGAAGATACTAAATCAGATGATGACGACGATCCAGGAAAAACTTGCAAAGGCTGATCATACAGAAGAGTAGCAGATTTACTTCGGACTATGTTTTTTCCATCTGCACTACCAGAGGCTGATTTAACCACTGTGTTTGGCTGCTGAGATCCATTGTCATTGACAATATCATAGATTTTCAGACCACCAGTATCCATACTGGTGATACTGTGAGATTTTACCACAGCACCACTTCTCTGTGGGGACAGATCTTCAGTGCTCTTTGAAATAGACAGCTCAGCAGAAGAATCACCATCAACTGTAGTGCTTCGCGTCACTTCATCTCTGATGGGAGACGGTACTACTTCCTCAGGATGTCCATTTACTTTACTTATAGGATATTTATTTCCATTTTCCAAGTGCTCGTTTTCTTCTTTCATATTGTTATTCAAAAACCCTTTTAATGATGCTATTTCCTGTGATTTTAATCTTTCTATGGGAACTGGCACTGCCTCTTCACTAGCCAGCCTATTGATGTTCATGTTTATTTGATCTAATTTGTGAGACTCCTCAGTAGGAGCGTTTAGATCAACATCTTTTCCTATCAGGCCTAATCTTTCTTCAATGCTTAAATCATATTTGGACAGATTTGTAACCTTGTCTTGCACATTTATTTTTTCTTCTACTGTAATGCTTAATTCACCTCCATTTTGCAAGAGATTATTCAAATTTTCATCTTCACGTCTGGAAAAAAAAAAGTAACTGTTGAAAGAGATTCAAAATGAAAAATAATATATTCCTGTATTAAGAACGGTTTTAGAAAAATTAGCCATTATCATGCAACATAGCCATACTGTGTGCATAATACAGGTCAGAGACCAATATACAACCAATTTATGATTTGCTGTCTTACCATCAGCAAAAATATTATGCAGAGGGTTCAATTTCGCAATTCTTGTTTAGGTCATTAATTATGAGATCACGGTGTGATTTCAGAAGTTTAATTAAATTCAGCTCTTACTTTGATGATTAAAGAGAGATAAAGTCACAAAAAGCACTGAGTGACAATCACTCAGATTTCTTATCAGATTCCTCCAAGTTCCAGAACAATTTTTAGACAACTGTTTTGTTTCTTTTGGCACATTTTAACAAAGTAGCATATTTTAACTAAAACTACAGAGAGCAGCAACCTTTAAGTCCATGGTTTGTAACTATAAAAAAAATTTTTGGAAACTTGTGTTAGCAATCAAATCGATCTCCAACTTCACAGAAAATAAAAACACAAAGTTTAAATAGTGTATTGGAAGCATACAAAATATCAGTTATAATAATTTCATCCTCCTTGATTATTAGAAGAGATGGGAACCATGTTTTGCACACTAAGATTTGCCTTTTTAAAACTTAGGACAACAAAATTAAAAGAGAAGTATTCCATTATTTAACATTAACATATTTAAACTATTTATTTAATGATTTAAAATAACAATTGACAAAATTAAAAGGGATGGACATGCAATATGAAATTTTAAGTAATATACTTCTCTATTGCACTTGCTTGGTGACATACAGTATTTTACAAACCTGATTTTGGACAAAGCAGCTGCATGTGTTTCTTTGTCTGGAGAACAGAGAGAAATATCTTGGCTACTATCAGTATTTAAGGAAACGGAATCCGACATTCGAGAAGGAGATGAACAGTTGCTGTTATTTTGATTGCTATTGTGGGTGGCTTCATCTGATAAGGAATCAGCATCTTTTAAGTCATCTGAAATAAAAATTTGCTACTTTAGTTAAGAGACACGTACTTTTTAAAAAAATAAATTTTTAATGTGTACATGTTAGTGTTCAGAAATCATACCTCATTCTCGAGTAACACTTATCACAGGAAACTCACATATAACCTAACACCTTTGCAAACTTTGTATAAATTGAAAAGACCGTTGGCAATAGTTTGTTTTTTGAAATACTCAACTCACTGTAAACAGCCCCCACCTATTAACGAAATTTAACCTGTTTCTTTTTTCCAAGTTTCCTTGGCATAAGCCAGTGCTACACTATGTAACCTTTCCCCCATAATATCTACCAAATCATGTTTGTTTTTATGATTCAAAAGTCCTGAATTAAGTCTATTAGCCCCTATTAAAAAAAAAAACACTCTGCTTCACATGATTTTGGAAGCTACACAGTTCCGGCTTTTGAACATTGTATCATTGTTAAATAGCAGTTTACTAGACCAAATAGTCTGGAAGGAACTAGATCACTGGATGAGGTCTATAATACTTTTATAAATGGAAAAGCAGAAAAGAAAACATTCTTCCGCATAACTGGAATCCAATGCATTGTCATGCCTTGCAGATCACTTAGTGTTCTCAAAATTATTTATACCTCTGCACATTTTTTCTTGCATAACACATGCATGCTTATATACTACATCCACGTGAAAATCACTTATCTCAAAGATCTCAAGCCAGCCATGATTTTAACATTGGCAAAAAGTGTACAAATCAATGCGTTTTAAAGTTTCGCATTGAGACAGTTATAGGTGCTAAAAGCAAAAATCTTGTGAACCTGGTTAGGAGCTCCAGAGAAAAGAAAGAAGTTTTGACCTAGCCAGCCAAAAAGCCTAAAGACGAGTTTAATAACCATCAGCCTCTTCTCCTGCATGCAAACCTCAGTAGAACCTTCCTGCTACCTCCCTGTGGTCTTCCTTCATCTTCACTACGTCTTATCCTTTTAACTGTGATGGCCAGAACCACCTTTTGTCCTGAAAAGACCTAGACCCTATGAAACAAAATACAGTGTGCTCTCCTACTTTTAAATTTTGTTTTCTCCATACCTTAAACCATTCCTTGCTCTTAACAAAATGCTTATCCAAACTGAAATTATTTTTCAGAGCAGCAATAAAAAAAAATTTACTTAAAAAATACAATGATCTATAGTTTCCCGCAAGAGGGAAAAAAAGCTAAAAAGATTAAAGTGATTTTGGAAAAAGTTGCCACAGAGAAGTTTATTCTTAGACCTTAGCAAGTGACAACAGCTTCTCTGAAAAAGTTTAAACAGGTAATATTGCAGCCAGCAGCAGCCATAATCCACAAAAACTGGGAGAGGGAAGAAACAGGGAATTTAGTTAAGACAAAAAACACTTTCTGCAATCCTTTTCTTAAAAGTTTCTTCAAAAGTGTGTTCAAGCGAACAATCCCCCAAAACACAAGCCTCTCGTCTTCCCCTCTGCTTTTTAAACTGATGGCAAGATTCCAAGAAAATTTGGATCAGTAACAACAGCTTTCCTTACTGCACACTTAAGCATAAGATACTACAGAACTTTTTTCTGATTCCATTGCTTAATTAGGGCATTGATCATCTGTCTAAAAACACTAAATCAAGTCCAGTAATTTAATTGGAAAACAGCCATTTTAGAACAGGAAATTATCAGAATCATACAACATCTCTATTGTTTTTTATGGTATCTAACCTTTTTTGTTATTGCTAAGAGCTACCACTTTGGGTTGGTTTATGGAGGTTTCTATCAGTGGTGGCCGCATTTCTGCCATTTTCATCTCTTCATCAGAGGAGAGTTCTTCCGACTCCTGCTAAAGAAAAAACAGCTTTATGCTGCTGTACGTTTTACAGAACTGCTTAAAGGTCAAGCGCTGTTAAACTGTCACACACCAAATAAAGGGGAAAGTACAAACAAGCAACATAACACAGGCTTACTTCTTATAGCAAGTGTACTTATTTGTTGTGCAAATCAACCAAATTTAATAACATCTGCCACTGAATTATCTTTAAGAAACAGTATATGCAGAGTTACGCTGTCAGTGACAAACTTCACAGGAATGACTGTCAAACTGGTGTTAAGTGCAGCTACGAGAACTACTTGGAGCAGGGAGGTGCAGCCTCCGTTTCACCACCCGGGAGAGAACCCCTGACTGAATTCAAGTCAGAAGGCAGTACCCATCATTTTACATCATCATACAATGATGCACTAATAGATCTATATATTAGCATAAAGTGGTAAATACAGACTTTGAACGTATTTCCAGTAACAGACAGGGAAGTATCTGTGCTATTGCATAATGTTTTTCTGTCCTGTTAACAATGGAAACAGGGTGTAGTTTACTTCTTTTCTCTCTGCAGGTGCTTTTCATGTGATATAAGACTGCTACTGTGCACCTGCTCCCCCTGCCTCCTGCCCCAAAGGCATCACGTTTTTAGACTAAAGGAAAGCAATGTTTTCAGTTTTCCTTATAATTCTCTAGACCTTTGACTGACAATTTTTTTTCTTTTTAAATTACTCTTCCTTTGGACTCCATCCAACTGATCCTCATCTTCATTGAATTTCAGTGCCTGCAACTGGACATACTAGCTGAGGTCTCAAACGTGTTAAGAAATTACCAGTTTATTCCTGTTCGGACACATCAGTGAGGTTTGCTTCTGCTCTCCTCCCAGCTGCCTACAGTGTTGACTCTCATTAAGTTATTGGTCACTGAACAACGAACACCCTAGATGTTGATTACCTGGATATTGGTTTTGCTGAAAAGAAAGAGGAACTCAAACTGAACAGCTACACAGCAGCATTACCAAGATGATCTTAAGGAGGAGGAGGTATGTTATGAGAAAGAATTGAATAAGCTTGGCTTGCGTACTCTAGGCAAACAAAGATCAAATACATCTTAGGTTCCTATCTTCAAGTTTCCCTTACTAACCTTTTTCCAAGAGGATGAGAAATTATTTAACTTCAATAACAGCAGCAGCACAGGAATAAAGTGATGCTGAATATGTTTATGCTAGAAATCAGCAAGCTTCTAACCATAAAGTGGAGCACAGTGCATTTATGAAAGAGATTAACTGACAGAGCTGCCTGCAAGGGCAGACATATGACTGAATTTAGGGTCTATTATGAGGCCTATATTCCTATTATCTTCATAAAACCATTATTTTCAGTAAGATTTTGAACGGGGGG